GGCTGTGAGAACCTGTCCCCCACAGCTGCCTTCCAAGCCATTTCTGAAAAAATCTCCAACACTTTCCGAGCTGGGTTACTCACTGGAGCTCTGCCTGGAGCTGCTGATCCTGTGGGGCCGTTTGTGATGGCATCTGTGTGTTCCTGGGGTAGCTCCAGTGCTGCCTTCAGTGCCCAGCTGTTTGTCTCCTTTACAAAAAGTGGCTTCAGAATGTGGCTGTGTTTCTGCCTTCAGTGCCCAGCTGTTTATTTGCCACCTTTACAAAAAGTGGCTTCAGAAAGTGGCTGTGTTTAATTGCCATTAGGCACAGGAACATGAGGTGCTATTAGTGTTATCTGCTCTGAATGAACTGCTGAAATATTCGAGGAGGTTTTGTGTTAAGATGGAGTGAAGGACTTGGTGCCTGTAGGCACATCTGGGAGTGATGGTGTCTGGCTCCTCTCTCAGGTGAGGTTTTTGTGCCTGTGAGGTCTGGGTGATTTTGATTTATTGGGAATGTTATCATGTAACATAACAAAGGATTGTGAGTCTGCCACTGCTGATCCTATTTAAATTAAAAGACTACTTGTTTCAGTACCTTTCCACCATCTGCACAAGAAATAGAACCCTCTGAGAAGATAAATAATCTGGTTTTATTTCTACTTGACAAAATTATGGCTTTTAATGTGGAAGTGCTAAGCCTTTATGTACTGTGGATTAACAGAGTGAGTGATCTGAAACATGGAGATCTCTTGGTGATGAGTTCTCTTTATTTGGCAATGCTGGAATTGAGACTTTTGGAAAGTATTCCTAAAGCTTTCAGGGTAGTTTAATTGTCTCTTGACAAGGTGGCTTCTCATGAATTCTCTCATCATTGATGACACAGCTCATTTTGTTGAGAGTTTGTGATTTATGTAAAACCATAAGGGGCCTGATTGTCTATTGCCAAGTAAGTGGTAATGTCACTTACATCCCCTTTGTGTTACCATAATCCATTGCTTTGGGAGCATTTGGAATGCACCTGATGCAAGACAAACCTGCCACATGGAGCAAGAAAAGTTTCAAATTCAGCGTCTCCCAACACTTTTCAGGTTAAAACTAAAGCAGAACCTCACTTCAGTGGAAACCCAGCATGCCTGGGGGTTTTGTCCTCCAAATCCCCCTCCTTTCACCCAACTCCTGCTAGGAATCCTTGCTGATGTTGCTGGTGCCCAAATTTACCCCAGAGCTGGAATTCCAGAGGCTTCCATGCACTGTACCTGCTGTAACCACAACTATGTGGCAATAACAACAGCAGCATGAACTTTGTTGTGGAGGGGCAATAACTTCTTTTTTCATCAGTTCCAGCACTCCGAGGCTGAGGTTAAAGTCCTTTTCACCAAGTCCTGCTGTGAAATGTGGCTGTGTGGGCTGGGGAGCCTTGCAGTGGAATTGATCTAGGAATGAGTCCAATGCTCAGACTTGCAGAGGCATCCTGTTTCCTTTTGAGAGCAGGGAAGGAGGACAAATTTCTGTGGGGGCTGAGCCTTTTGTGATGGGATGGAGCAGATCTGGTGTGTGAGAAGCAATACTCAAAGTACCCATCTCCTCTGCTGCTCTCTGGGTTCATACAGCGAGTTTGTGGTGACTTCTGTATTTAAAGATTCTCTGGCAGACAGTTCTCACTCTGCTCATACAAATTGCTGATTTGGAGCAAAATTGCTCTGATAATTTCTTGTGTCCTCGGAATTTGTGCTGACATCTTTTCTCCAAATACTTCTGTATGTGTCCCTTTTTGGGGAACAGAGGCAGGAGAAACTGGGATCCAAATGCACAGCTGCTCCTTACTGCTGCTGCCCACTGCTGTGGCTTTTGTAGTTCAGAATAAAGGTTTTGAGGGACCTTGTGACCTCTGTGAGGTCCCATTGCAGCTCCCTGATTCTCCCTGGGGCATAACTAGACTGTTAATTATTTGGGTTGGAGGCCCAAATCCCCCTCTGTGTGGTACCAGTGGGCTACTGGTTAAAAAGGCAGAGTCTCCTTTATTTCCCTGACATCTCCTGCTATGTTTAGCTGTTTATTTCCTTCCCATTTTGCTAATGCTGGTGTTCGTGCAGACACATGGTGAGACAGATTAGGCAGCTGATCCAGCTGAAAACTAACCCATTTTAGTGAGGGAGTGGGAAAGGATTTATTTGGGGACTTTTGCTGGCTCAGAGAGAAGAAATAGGAATGAGGGGAAGGGAAAGATGCAGCAGCCTGTGCTCATGTTGGATTAAAGTGGCTCTGGGCCCACACCCATGGTTGTTGTTGTAAACTGGGTGTAAATCTCTGCTGAATGATTCCAGGCTCCTTTCAGCCTTGATTTTGAACCTGCATGGGAGCTCTGCTGTCTCCCTGTCCTTCTGGAACCCAGGGACTGGCTGCACTGAGTCTGCCCCTCTGCTCTGTGATGCAGGGCTCTGACTGACCCATGTTGTGGTGGCAGGGGAGTACCTGTGAAATTCACACTGATTGGTTTCTCTTGTTTGTTTCCCCAGGTGATTTCTCTGGCCAGCTTTTAGCTTATTTGAGTCTGGGTCCAATATTCATTATTGTTGGCTTTGTAACACTCATCATATTCAAGAGAGAGCTTCACACGGTGAGTCCTTCTCTCCCTTCCCAGCCTCTCCTTATGACAAAAGTCTTTTCCTTTGGCACCTGGGGCTCCTGTATTCACACTTCTTTTTCTCTCTAAAAGGAGCAAGCTGAGGAAAGCCATCTTCCTGTCAGGGAACAGCAGGAGACACTTAGCACCCGTGGCAGGTTAAAAGGCTGCTCAGCCTTTTCTGACTTCTCTGTTCCTTGGGTGTGTTTTGGACATTATCTGTCCAGAACCATCGAGGGAGATGCCTGAGGAAGTACAGAATGCTGTTGCAGAGTGGGAACACTCCCAAAATCCAGTAGGATCATAGCACTGGGCAGCATATGCAGGAAATGGTGTGTGTAACTCAGGGGGATGCACTTGCTTTGAACTACTGAGGCAGAAAAGGGAATAAAAATAAAACCTAAAGCTTTCCAGGGGAGTGGATCTGTCTTTAAGGGCTGTTTTTCAAATGTGAGTTGAATACCAGGGGCAGAAGAGATTTGTTCCAATCCAAATTCTTAAAATACTTTGTATCTGCTCTGCCAGGTAGTTGGGAATGGATAAACTCCCTCTAGGACATACAAACCTCTTGTAGCATTTGTCCTCAGTAAACAGATAAAACAGGGGCCACTGAAGGGATTTTGAATGTAGGGCCAATGTCATGGGAACCAGTGGCCCAAGGGACTTGGGAATAGCAACTCTTAACTAGGGAAGGCAGCTGTACAGTTCTGACAACTTGAAGATTTTGTGTTGGCCCAAAAGAGAAAAGAAGCCAGAGTAGCTATTGCACAGATTTATAGGTTTCTCAATAAAGGGATTTGCTTGGTGTTGAGGTTGAGTGTCAGTTCTTCATGTGGGAAGTCACCACTGGGCTGGAGAGGGACACTGGCTGCTTGCAGCAGCCTGATCTGTGGCTCAGGATGAGGAGTGAAAAATTGCTTCATCATGTGGAATGGGACTGAGTGCTAAGGAGGCAGTGTCATCACCAGCTGGGAATTTGATCACAGCAGCAGGACTAATTTAGGGGAGGTGTATGAACTGTGAAGTTGAAGAGCAAAAATAAATGCTACCAGGTCTGGCTTAGCTCAGCATGTGAATTCATCTTGGACTGAAGACAGCAGCTTCATGATGAAAATATTCATAGAAGGAAAAGCCAGAAAACCTAAAAAGTCACCTTTGTTTTAAACTATTTACTGAAATAACAGTGTCTGCACTCCCCCTGTTGGTCATTGGGAAAAGCCAAAGTTCCCAAAACCTGCCCTATTAAAAAGGTCACTTTCTGCACTCACTGGTGCTGGCAGAAGTGCCCTGCTGTGCCATTTTTGTCTTTCTGTGTATCAGCTGCTGAAAAGCTGCATGTACACAATATGTTGCCAAATAGAAAGTGAGATGAAAATAAATGCTTTTCTTCTCAGGTATAGAATTTGGAAGCCATTGGTTTTAACTCTAGTAGTCAAAAAAGAAAATTAGAAGCATAATGTTTGGGGTTTTGTCAACAGAGAGAGCCTGGTAAGTAGAAGGATCTCTTGGAGGGGATGACACAGCTGTCTTGCCTTCACAGATCTCTTTCTTGGGAGGGCTGGTGTTCAACGAGGCAGTGAACTGGTTAATAAAAAATGTAATCCGGGAGCCTCGGCCGTGCGAAGGTAGGGCGTGCAGCATGTGTGGTGTGTCAGGGGAGCTTGGGGTGGAATGCTCACTGGGGGGAGTTTCAGGGGTTTCCCCCTTTGCCTCTCGTTGGCTGTGGGTGTTTGGGTGTAAAAAGGCCGACAGAGCCTCCTGAGCAGGGACGTGTCCTGTGAACTTTGTGCATGCTCCAGCAGCATGGGCTGGCTTCACATCTGTGTTCCAGCTGCTGACCATACCTTGACCATCTTCTTTTTTTCTTTCTCTTCCCAGAAGCCCATTCTACAGTGACCACAAAATATGGGATGCCGTCCAGCCACTCCCAATTCATGTGGTTTTTCTCTGTCTATTCTTTTCTGTTCCTTTATTTAAGGTAAAAATTCCGGGTCAGGTTTTGGCTGTTAATATGTAGCAACACCTGAAATGGGTGGCTCCCTTGCTGGGTGCCACTTGAGTGGGATAATGGAATGAAATCTGAGGACCTGCACAATTTATTGTGGCTTGGTGGGATTGGAGCTTGAATGACTCAATCTGCATGTAGGGCTGGAGTTTCTTTTTCTAAGATTTGATGGTGCCCCAGTGTGAGGGAGGAAGTGGGGGAAAAGGAGGAGAAATGAAGAGCTGCTTTTTCATTTTGTCTCAGTTTCAGTGGGGTTATCTACAATCTTTTGGATAATACCAGCTGCATGACTTTTTAGTTGACTTCCCTTATCAAGTACTGGGTTTACCTGTGCTTTAATGAAATTCTTGCTGGGGCAAGGCTCTAGATGGAGGAGGACAAAACTCACAGTTCCTCCTGGCTCTGTGGGTGATGGAGGGACTCCCTTGGCTCCCTGTTGATGTGCTCAGCACGTGCCTCTCACATCAGTGTGAGCATCCCGCCCTCCATCACAGCAATCCCTGCTCACAGCTGGAGAGAAGCACCTGAGGCTTCTTGGCTGCTCTTTAACTGCTGCCAGTGGGACAGATTGCTGCTGGGGTGGCATTGAGCTGCCCATGACCCCAGTGGAGTAAAGCTTTCCTAGGGTTTCAGGGGGAGGGAGGTGAGGAGTGCTCAGCTCCCTGCCCTGTGCTCACGGCTCTCCTTCTCTTCCAGAATGCACCAAACAAACAACGCGAGGTTTCTGGATTTGCTCTGGCGACACGTGCTGTCCATCTGCCTCGTCACAGTGGCTTTGCTAGTCTCATATAGTAGGTATGGAGCAGCTGTTTCTCTTCTGCTCTCACACAGCAGCCCTGGCATTCCTCATCCTGCCTTTCCCACCTCATTCTGCACTGCAGCTTTGTACAAGTGTTGCCATGAGACCCAATAAACAAAAGTTCTACGTGTGTGGTGCTTCACAGGCGTTTACAAAACCCCAAATCAGCTGAGCTTGTGCCAATTCCCCACGGGCTCCAGTGCCATGCTCCATCCAGCCTCACTTTGCAGCACTGAGTGTGGAGGCATTGCCCCATCTGGGCACACCATGTGGATCACTACAGATGATCAATCCCACTGTTTTGCTTGATCATTACTTAATCAAAACATTTATAGCTGTTGGCTTGCAAGATTTAGTTAAGATGGATAAAGAAAATGGAACTGTGGTAATGATTTTTTTTTTTCTCTTTAGTAGATTAAATGTAAAGTGAGCTCCAGTAATTGGAAAAACAAATTCAAGCTAGAAATAGGGTCACATTTTCCACAGGAAAGTAATTACCTGTTGGCACAGTTGACTGTACGCTACAGCTGATTACTTATTACTAATTATTTTAAAAGCCTGACAGGACAAATTTGTCAGAGGTATATGGTCTAATTAAAACAAAATTAGAGGAAATCAAGTGACCTATGTTAGACAGAAGGTCAGATAAGATGATCATAATGATATGTGAGCAAAAAGAATTTTGAATGTAGCTTGTGCACACATAACAGGCCAACAGTGCAGCTCTGAGTGGCTGCAGTCACAGTGAGCACATTGGTCATGCAGCCTCTGTGTCACATTGGAGAGAACCAAAATCACAAAAAAAATGCTGTCCATGTTCTTAAAAGCCTTTAAGCCCCAGCTGGCCTGGGGGAGACTTGTCCTGTTACTGCCTTCTGAAAAGTTTCTTGTGGGAACTAACAGTATTAGCTCTTCAGCTGATCCAAAGATGGATGAACAAGAATGTGGGGGGTTATTGAGTTAAGCTCAAAACTAGAAGTGCTCCAAGCTGAAACTGCTGTAGCAGGGAAGAATTTTCCCCATTTTTTCCCTCCCACTATTTTTGCCAGCTTTTTACTGGAAAAGGACAACCACTTTTAATGTCTGTGGGCCCAGTGACACCTCAGCTTGTGATTTTGGGCACCTTTTGTTTTAAAGCCTGTCTGGTGACTCTTCTCTTCCACTGCAGGGTTTATTTGCTTTACCACACCTGGAGCCAAGTCCTATATGGAGGTGTGGCAGGAAGCATCATGGCCATAGCCTGGTTTGCCTTCACACAGGAGATCCTGACTCCCCTCTTCCCGAGGATAGCTGCGTGGTAAGGCTCTTTATTCTGTGGAGGTTTGTTATGGATGTTAGAAATGAGAATTCCTGGGCTCTGTCCCAGTTTTGCATGTTGGCTGTTGTGTAACCTACTTTGTTCCTCCATGTTTTCTTGTGCATGCATATATACAAAAGATCATATGTCCTTGGCAAGGGTGGGGAAGAGGGAATTCAATCAATTGCTACATTTTGTAAAGCCCTACTAAAGCTGTGAGGTGTGGCAGCCTGCTGGAGGAGCTTTGCAAGATGAACAGCAGATATTTCTTAATGAATGTCTAATGACCTAGTCAAATTGCAGAGCTATTTACATGTAATATAGTCTGGGAATATTGCATAAGGAAAGAAAAAAATGTTTTTTTAACATGTAACAAAGCCTGAAGTGATAGAATAGTACTGTTAAGTAGAGCAGGTTTTGGGGGTTTTTTTGTGTTTTTTTTAAAAATCAAAATTCCAGTGAAGAAAATCTAATTGTTTCCCCCTTTCTACCACATTGTCCTTTTTCAGGCCAATTTCAGAGTTCTTTTTAATCCGAGATACCAGCCTCATTCCTAACATCCTGTGGTTTGAATACACAGTCACAAGAGCAGAAGCAAGGTAAGTTCTGTTGGGAGTAGAGGAGTTGTTGCTGCTCTGACCTTTCAGATGCAGTTATTAATTTATTTTCTGATATGTAGCTGATAATTTTGGGCTGCTGTGGGTGGAATAGCTTAAAGTAAGGAAATACCAAGTTGTGGGTTAACGGCTGCATCTGAAAGGTGAGTCTGGAGAGGGTGTGATTCAAAAATTTAATCTCATTTAAGCAGCATTTCAGCTCCCTGGCTTAAGATTTTTGCAAGCAGTTGTTTATAATCTTGCATCCCCATGTGAGCTTGTTTACACTGAAGATGGGGTGGGTGTTCTGGGAGTGTGGAGAGTGGGAAGGAATGATCAGCTTGGTGGGTATGGCAGGGACACTTCAGTTTTGTGTGCAGCTAAGCAGAGGCATACTTTAATCCTGCTGTGTTTGCCTCTGGCTTGTTGCAGCCCCCTGGGATGGGCTGGGTGTGGTGGTGTTCACAGGGGTACCAGAATGAGGGAAGATATGAGAATCTTGACTCCATGTTTCAGAAGGCTGATTTATTATTTTATGATATATATTACATTAAAAGAAAATTATATACTAAATCTGTACTAATGAATAGAAGAAAGGATTTCACGAGGATTGAAAGGAATGATAATAAAATCTTGTGACTGCTCACAGCCTCGACACAGGTGGCTGTCATAGGTCATCAAGTAAAAACAATTTCACATGCTGGGTAAACAATTCTCCAAATCACATTCCAAAGCAGCAAAACATGGAGAAGCTGAAGCTTCTCAGGAGAAAAGATCCTAAGGAAAGATTTTTCATAAAATATGTCTGTGATTGCTGTGGTCCCCTGTGTCACCTGTGCCTGTGCTGCCTTGCAGGAACAGACAGCGCAAGCTGGGGACGAAGCTGCAGTGACCGGGAGCAGGGCGCTGTAATGGACAGACAAGAGCAGAGACCTGGGAGCAGCAAGGAGCCTTTTTACAGACGGACCAAAGGAACAGGCAGGGACCATACCCAAAACCTGAAAGCCTTTGCTCTGCTTTAGCAGCTAAGCTGGATGCTCCCTGATGCATGTGGGACCGTGCAGGAGTAGAAACTCATTTTGAACACAGATGCACATGGTTGGATGTACCATCGTGTCTACGTCAGGGGAGGGGGGAGAAAATGCCTGGTGTCGTGTTCGGGGGAGGGAAAACCAAAAATGAATCCTTTCTGTGACTTTTTTTTTCAGCATGAAATATACACACTATTTATTTATTTTTTTAAATGGAACTATTGTTTATGGGGTGGGTGAGGCGTTGATTGTGTGTTTTGCTTTTTTTTTTACTTTTTCTTTTTGGAAGAAGATGACAAAACTATAATCTCAAGTTGGTCATGTTTAATTAGGGCTTCTAATTCTTACATGGTTCTTAGGAGGGAGGGGATCTAGGAGGGGTGACCAAGACAGAAGGAAGAGGAAGACTTTCCTTTCTGCAGTCAGTTTGGGAGATCAAAATCAATTCCAACTGTACTTTGTACAGACAAAAAGACAGACTATAAAGATCTGATTTTTAACACTAGTGACAGTTCTGCAGGGAATCCTGCATGGATACCAGTTAAGGGGAGTGTGTGTGTAAAACAAAGGAAAAACACAAATATACTGACTCTTTATTTTTTTTCCACTGCTGCTCCTGTTGTGTAATTAGCAAGAGTGTCCTTTTCAGAATCTCTTCCAGGTGGCAAGATTATCATACATATCTCACATTTATTCCATCTCTTCCTTTATACTTTTATTATCTCAGGGTTGCTGTGATCAGTACAGCTTTTGTTGTGCTGAGTGTGCTGAGGGCACTGGGAAGCCCATTGGTTGTAAGCAGTGCTGTGCTCCAGTGAGAGTCAGCCCAAAGCCTTACAAAATTCAGTTGCTGGTCTCTGTCTTAAGCACTGGATTTTTTTTTTTTTCTGTTAAAGCTTAAGGGAGGGATTTTTATGAATGAACATAGTGACAACCACAAAAGAACAAGGCAAATGACTAATAACTAGCTCAGCTGCTCTCTGAATTATTCCTTGAAGAGCCCTATTAGACTCCATCCATGAACTCTGAGTAGGGAATTTATCCTAGCAGAGGCTCCATCACAGTGGCTTGGTTGGGGTTCTGCAGCTGTAACCTTGAATGCTGAACTCCTACCAGCCAGTTTTGCTCTCCATCCTTCTTCCATGGCGGTTGTGGCGCTCTGGGTGCTGTGTCTCTGTGGGAGTGTGCCTGCCATCTCTGTGTGCTGGTGATGCCTCCGACCTCTGTGAGCCATCAGTGACCTGCCAAGGGCTATTCTCACAGTGCTTCAGGGCTGTGCATGGACACTTTCTGTATTTCTAGTATATAATGCAGCAGTTCAAGTGTAACTACAGAGAAGTATTTATTCAAAGCACAATTGACTTGAACTTTCACAGATAAAGGACAGCTTCTGAACTGGCTCAAAGGTCATCGGTGTGCCTTCGATGCAGTCATGAGCAGAGGTAAAATGACTGTCACATCTCAGTCTTGCTGCTTGTTTTACTATCTCCACTTTAATCAGACTCCTGCATTATAAAGCTGCTTGAAGTCAGATTTTGTTTTTTTTTTCTGTTCATCCTGGTTATTTTTTTTTTTAAGTTTTCATCTGTGCCTGTTGCTATAGGAGTTTGTGTGTTTGTGTGGAGCTGCTGTTGGACACTCAGAGTGTAAACTGTAGAAAGTGATCCTGATTCAGGAGATCAGGAATGAAGGCTGTTTAAATTTCTGTGTTTAAATAGCTACGGGTAGTAAATTAACTGTTTTCAGTTGGTACAGCAAGTATATATATATATAAATTTTTTAAGAACTGTTTAGCATAACATAAGCAATCCTGCAACATCTGAAGCACTGGGTGTGCTTTGAAGGTGCATCATAATTAAGAGGCATCTTGCAGCTTTCACAAGGACATTTGATCTGCCTTAGACCAGCTCTGTTGGCATGAGACAGACATCAGGCAGGTCCCGTGACATGGTGGTACCATATGTTTCACTTTGAAAACTGGTACTTATGTCTTGCAAAACCATTCATTTTCTCTTTATATCTTTTGTAAGTGCACTGACAAAGCCAGAACAGAGATCACACCTCTCTTCCAAGGTTGCTGAAGGAGTGGATTGTTTCAGGAGTGGCTTAGCACTTCCCCAGCCTCTCGAGCTGTTACAACAGACTGCTGGAAAAAATAAATGTATGGAAACACCTACTGAGCATAGGGAAGAGGGTTCATCTCCTCATGGAGAGCAGTGCAGTGTAAAAAGCTGTTCCACTTCATGTTGCCTTCAAACCCAAGCTTCCTACAGTAATTCTTAGGAGTGAGGGAGAGAAAGAAGAGCTCTTGTAAGACACTGTAATAAACTCTCCTCTGTTCTCTATAAGTTGTTTGTAATCTGCATCTTCTGCCTACTTTTGCTGTACCTTTTCAGAAATCTTTGCAATACTTGATATATGGTAGAAATTCCTTAGTGATTCCATGGATTTTCTTAACTAAATGGTGCTGTGCAGGAAAAAGATTTGAGCTCTGCCTTATTATCCTACACTTGTATGAAATCTCCTGCCACTAGTTTTCTGAAATTGAATGTTTTCTTTGGAATATGTGGCTTTGCAAGCAGATGCTTTCTCTTCCTCCCCTGTACTCAAGGGGGCTGGATGGAGATATGACAATAAAAGGAAGGTGACAGAATGCTGTGGTTCACTGTTCTTGCTGTCCCCACACAATCATTGTCCCATTAAGGGCAGTTATGTAACTTCTGCAGTGTTTAAGGAGATTTAAGCCTTTTTGTAGCATTTATCTGTTTATTGTGTCCCAGTTTATTCAACAAACATTTCCAAACTTTGCAAGACATGGATCCCACTACCCAACAGTATTTAACACAGCTAACCAGCAAAACATGCAACACTACCAGGCTGTGTCAAAAATTGCACTCACCCCAAGAGTTATCTGAATATTTTCAGTTTATGAATTTCTGAAATAATTTGTTCCAAATCAGTCAATTTTCTGGAGCTTTAGTTTCTTCTCCTTAATGTGCCTTTAAGACAATGGGCATCTCTTGATAAAACAATCAGAAACAGGGAGAAGAGTATTCAGTAAGTCAACAGTGAAAAAATCTTGAAGATACAAACCAGAAGGACATCACATTTTAGAACTTGTACAATAAGAAAAGACTTTTTGAAGGAAAAACCTTGTTGTGATTTTAGTGTCCTTTCAAGCACTTTAAAAATCAACCTCATTCATCTGAATTTCAGCTCTGTGTTTTAGTAAGGACGCATTAGATGGTTTATGAATCTTTTATCTCTTTGTCTGCTCCCTGCAGCTGTACTCTGCTGAAGCTAGTGGGATGTCCAGATTTAGTTCCAGAATAGATCAATCCAATCTTCTGAGGTACAATCTTCAGCAGCACATGCTTATGCTTAGTCTTTAATAGGCACTTTGCTTTGAGAGCCTTCCCCTTTGAGACAGAAGTGGAAAAGGGCCAGTCCCAAATATTTCAGTAGTGCTACTTGTGCTTGAAGGCATTGCAGACATGGAAAAGTAATTCTTCCCCTGGTAACAGAGGCTGATTCAGTATGGGGGGAGGATTACTTGGCAAAATGAATATTTTTTTTTTTTCCATGTAAAAGGCTCCATGAATCCAGATGTTACTCCAGTAAGGTTTGTTCTTGTCTGTAGTATTTACACAATCACTTAGAGTTTGATAATACTGAGTATCCTCTTGCAGTTTTCAGTCTGATTGATACAGAGGAGTCACCAGAGCAGGGATTTCTGCTTGCAGGTCTGTAGTGCTCCTGTTCATGCTTTTAGGCTCTCACTCCATTCAAGATTCCTCTAAAAGATCAACTAAATCCATGTAGATGATGTGAAAGTGGCAGTTCAATCAAGGTCAATACAATCACTGGCTGTGCAGGTGAGTTTCAATTAAATTTTCCTCTTTTAAGGTATGTTATTAGGTATAAGATAGAAGCTTTGAAATAACATCCTTTCAGGAAAAACATGCCAAAAGCATTGGCATGTATATTTTGAGAAACAAATTAGATTTATTTTTTCTCTTCTTTTACTTTAAAAAGCTTTAGTGCAAATTTGTTCATATATGTTCATCAAGGCACTTTGATCATGTCCCTTGCAATTATTTCCCTGTTAACAAAACAGGCCATCACACTCCTAATGCTTCTTATTTATGGTGACATCCCAGCAGACACATCTTGAAGGGTGTGCAATTTAAATACAGAATTCCTACTGCAGAAAGAGCACTAGAATTCTTTATTACCATATGGTTTTACTAAATAAAAGTGTAGTCAGGAGCTTGGCTTCTGACAGATGGGTTGGAAGTAGTTCCTATGCTACCATTGTATGTTAATGTTTATATATAATCTTCTACTGTCTCAAGTTTGTCAACTGAACATAAAAACAGTATCACATGAGATCATTCTCTCACAGAATAAAGCTGACACAAATTGGAGTAGTATTTCAGTAAGAAATAACTCCCCAGAGTGGCAGAAAAGGTGCTGTGCAGGAACAGTGCAGAAAAAACCCTACAGCTTTCTTCCTGTTTTTCAAGATTTTCTGCCTTGTTACAGCAGAGTGAAAGAAGGGTTTCTGCAGCTGTTTTTCCTTTGCCCTTTAACAGATTTCAACTCTGTGGGCCAGGAATGGAAATATGTGTTGGAGTTCCTGATCAGAAACATCCTTATTTGTCCACAGCTTGGGCATAACATTGTGCACAAAAAGGCTGTTTCTGAAAGCAGGGTGTAAAACCACATTGGGTTAATGTGTGTGTCCTGAGGGACATCAGGCATGTGGCTTGTTCATAAAGAGTCAGCATCTTTTTCTTTTCCTCATCTCCAAAGAAAGGTACAATGGAGCAAGTGTCAAGCTAAATGTCTAAGAAATTCCTTCTCATCTCTGCAGATGTGAAGGTACCTAAAGCCAAAGCTGGCAAAACTTACATGAGGAGAGTTTTGTAGAAGCTTTATGGGGAAAAAGCTTAAGGCTGAGCTGGATGATCAATGGTAGGACCATGGCAGGAAGCTTAACAAAAAGCTCAGAGCAAGAACAACAACAAAAATAACCTGAAACAGTAAAAATCACCTTAGTTTGTATCAAGTCATGTCCTGTTGTTAAGGGGGTTGGTGTAAGACGAAGGAGATGCCAGTGTCCTGAACAAGGGGAAGGGAGCGTTCCTGTAGGGCCTGTACTGGCTGGAGTGCCTGGGATAAGTAGTGCAGTACTCTAATGAGACTGGATCTGCTCTGGCTGAACTTCCTTCTCCCCTTGCTGAAGTTCAATTATGAGGCTTTGCTGGAGCAGTAGAAAAATCTTCAGTCAAGACTGGAAGATGCTCTTCAGAAGATGAAACCAGGAAAAAGACTTGGTCTTACAGTAGTTCTATCATACAATAATCATTCCCTGCTTCTCATGGACAAGAACTACCTTCCTCACCAAATGGATTTAGACACTGGCAAGGACTGTGCTTTCTGTACTCCCTTACAGTAGTTTTCATAAAAATCATATTTGTGTCCTCTTTGAGGACAGGAAGGTGCACTTTGCATTGATGGGAGAGGCCTCTCAGTTCTACTTTGGTTTGAGGCAGTGTTTCCTCTCACTACAGAGTCTGACATCTGTGGGTGACTATTCTGTAACATCTTGCTGAAAACAAATGGTAGATATCTTTGCTGTTCTCTGAATTGTTTTCTGAGGAACTGGGAGCTTCAGTGCATCAGGGATAGCCCATTTAACTGGGGGTTTCCCTCTTACAGTTTGGATTTGGGAGCAGCCTGCAGCAAGATCCTCATGTCCAGCAGTGCTTTCTCAAGGTAATGTGCCATGCGGGCGGCGTTTGTGTCAGCACAGCTGTTGAAGGCTGAAATGGCAAAGTTGATGTGTTCCTCCATGGGGTTGTAACACACTCCATAGCCATCTGGAACCACGGGACCAAAACACATCACACAATCTGTCTTGGCTGGGACCTGTGGAGACAATGTGATTAAAACCTTCTGACCAGTCAGAGAAAAATGAAACCATCAAATGGAAACAGCTCTGTCAACAGAGGAAACTCATCTCATTAAACTGCTCTAGAAGGGCCTTTGGTCACCCTCACCTCCCACCACATGTGCTGGATCCTACCATTTAGCAGCAAAGTGTTTTCTTCTGCATTTGCACAGGAGTGCTTCTCCCCAGGGTAAGCTTGCAGTAAGTCACAAGTAGAATTATTCAGTAAAAATCAGAACACAGCATTTAACACCAAGCTATTCTGGCTGCTGACTTCATTGACCTCACTTGGATTTAGACACCAAACACTCTTGGTGGTCTTGGCTTTGGTTATGTTAGTGTTTTACGTGTCTGTGAGGGACTGTGGAAAGTGTAAGATCAGATATGTAGCTTTGTGGGATCGACAGCCAGCTTAGAAATTGCCTACCCAATGTAGATGAGTTTCTAACAAAAAGGGAACTGAAGAGAAACACGGAGAAGGAAGGCATGAAAAGGAACAGAGAGTGCTTTTGGCTCAGATGAGTTGTACCTGGCTGGTTGAGAGGTTGAAGTGCATTGCAACAGCATAGGCTGTGTCCATGAAGAGCTCAGGAATGCTCACCAGGTCCTCGATTGCCTGGAGCTTCAGCCCCAGCAGGTGCCGGTCTATGGCATTGCCCCGGATGGCCTGGGGGAAAGCAAGGATGGACACATGAAACCCACGCCTGAGCAAAACTATTTCTTTGGGTTAAAGAAAAGAACACTTCTAAAAAGTCTCTAAAGTTAGAAGGAAACTAGATGTTGCATTTAAGACACATAATCTTGTTTATAAAGACTGTGAAATTGAACACACCAGTGCAAACAACCTTACAGCTCCTGCCCATGGACTCTCTCTGGTTTAAGGACTCCTTGTGCAACTTCAGTGTTTATCAGCAACAATGATGGTAAGAAATTAAGCTATTGTAATATCTAATTCTCTCCTTTAGGCCAGTCACAAGGGACACTTAACACACCAGCTAGAGAGGATTTAGTCTGTGGCTTTAGAGCAATGTCACATCAGACCTTTGCAACCCTGATGGCCACACTGCTGTGTCAGGAGCAAAAGATGTTCAGGTCTTGTCTTTCCTCAGAGCTCTCATTTGCTGGGTAAACCCCCAGGCCTGTCTGTATAGAGGACACTCACCATGTCTGTGTATTCCCTGTGGGCCTGTGTGGCTTTCCTCAGCAGGTCAGCTTTCTCCTGGTCCTGAGAACACACAAATCTGTTTAAGTTTTTCTGCAGAATGGAGAACCTTATTTTGGCTGTTCTCTAGGATGGAGGACATTTCTGCTTCGTGTGTCTGTATGAAACTCATTTATATTTACTAGATTTAATTTTTGCATCATTTTGTTTGGCAGCGTTACTTCATTCTGAATAGAGTTCATCAGTAGCAGAACTTAGTTTGAGTAGCTGAACAGCCTTACAAAGGACTTTTTGGTGGGCTCAGAAACATCCACATGATGTTTCCCAGACTTTCAGTACATATGATAAAGAAGTCAAATCAAACCCCTGATGTGTAAAGCTACTGCAAGCTATGGTTTGGCTCAAAACCTAACAAGGGTGCAGCCCTTCTTAGCTGAAACCAGATGAAACAGGGTTGGCCAAATAAACAGCTTTTCTCTTTGCTGGATTCCTCTAACTCCACTTCTTTGAGAGCCTCACCGATTTGTCAGGGCTGTCCATGGACTTGACAAACTTGAGGGAGTCCACGGAGGCGGAGCGGATGGTGTCGGTGCGGCCCAGGCGGAACATCCGCAGTGACGCGCTCTCGTACGTGGCACAGGCGCGGCCGTACATCCTGGGGCAGCCAGGAGAAAGGCACAGCAGTGAGTCTGCCCTGGCACAGCCTGTCTGTGACAGCTTCAGCAAGCTCACAGGTTTGAGTCTGTCAGTGAGGAGGTTGAGGAATGACTTCTGGGTGGTCTTACCTGTAGTACGCCAGCTGCAAGGCCAGCTGGATAAAAGCATCAGGGCTTATCTTCTCTGACTTGGGAAATCCTTTCCCAAATTGATGAAAGACCATGACTTTGATATCCAGATCTTCTACCATTCTACAAGGAAAGAAAGAGGAATTGTTCCTTTGTTGCTTGTTCTTGTAACACAGTGGAATGGATTTGCTTTCTCAAGGCTCAGAGGGAACAGGCCATCTGGATCTGACCTGTGCAGGGACAGAGAGCTCCAGCACACATAGATCTCTTTGGGCAGCACCACAGAGGTAAGAATTTTTGGCCACTGCAGAAAATCTCCATCAGGTTAGATGGCCATGTGTGTGTTTATACTCCAGTATTCTTGGCTGGATCCAGTAAAGCCTTGCTCTTTCTTAGCAAATGGGATGAATCAGTAATAACCCTTTTCTAGCACCTCTGACCTTATTCCTGGCAGTGCTTTTCAGCTCAGCTGAATGCTGTTGAGCCCAAAACTCCCTGACTGCAGTGGGAAAAGCCTCATTTAAACCACTGACAGGCTCCAAATGGAGACAAGAATTAGTCCCTCAGTCACTCACCCACTTGTCCATACTCACATGTTGAGGTTTTGCTTTGCATTCTCGATGTCATTCTTGATTTCTGGGGTGATGTTAAACCGCAGCTTTTTGGGCATTGGCAGATGAACTGTAGGAGATTTGCCCGTCTCGGGCTTCTTCCTGCACAGAGAAATGGTTCAGTTTGACCAGGGCTTTGGCATGAGGCCACAGCCTGGATAGAAATGCACAGGAGACCTTCCCTAACACCTTGTGACACTGGTCACAGCCTGACAGACCCCTCACAGTGCCAATAAGGGATCTCCAATGCTGAGGAGAAGCAGGGGCAGGACTCACGTGAACTCCACGACGTGGTCCAGAAGAGCAACGATGGGTGGGCCTTCGGAGGGAGCGTGCTCATATACGAGACCACAGGAGCCATCTTCAGCAACGATGAACTGGGACAGAAGCATGAGAGGACAGTGTTGATGACAGCCAGTGTGTGAGGCAGAAGATACCCAGAGAGACCTCAGTGTCTCCCTGTCTGTATCAGAGCCCGTCCTTGCACACTGAGAGGTCTCCTTTAGCAGCACAACAGTGGAATTCTTTCAGCAGGTGCAGAAGATCTGGGAGCACTGTTACAGTTCTGCAAAATTCCCTGGATAAGGGTGTGCTTGACATAATGGTGTGCTCAGTGCTTTGGCCACACAGAGAGGTTCAGTGGCTCTGGTTTGCTGAGATGCACCCACAGGACAGGAATAACATTGCCACATGCTGGCTTACCCTTACTTTTCAATCAGCTGGAACATCTAAACTTTATCCCCTTAGTGAAGAGTTCCAAATAACAACAAAACAGCTGAAAACACTATGAAGGGTTCAGCAGGTATGAGAAGAGTCCTCTAAAGCACCATTGCTACAATCTGCAAGCCAGGATATACCAACTAATGAAAGAAAAGCTCCAACAGCAGCTGCTGTTGAAGGATCTTGACAAGACTGAATGGAGAAGGGATCAGAGGGATGCTGTGAGATGGCAGTGCATATTTCAAAAAACTAAACAAAATGCCATTGGGCAGCTTCTGGCAGAACCAGGAAAAGTGACAAGCCTGGAGGAGATCCAAGGAACAGACCTCCCATCGTCTGGGCTGCCTCCGAGCAGATGAGGCATTGTTGACCACAGGCAGAAAATTGATTTATAAGGAACACAAAGACCTGCTGCACTGAATAAACGTGGGCAGAGGCAGAAAAGAAACAAGTCCCTGAGGCAGCAACAAATGCTGGTGACTGCAGGGGGAACCACAGCATCTCACACCGTCAGCCACCACTCCTCATCTCCCTTGTTCTCCCACTCTCTTGACAGCAGGACCTTTGCTGCAAAAAGGATCTTTTTGACTTTTGCAGTCTCAGGAAACGCCTCCAGAGCCACCTCTTCAGTGCCTTTAGAGCATCAGTTCCTACCTGCAGGGTTTTGTCGAACCATCGGTTGCCGCTGTTCAAGCGGCTGCCGCCGCCGTGCAGCATCTGCGCGGCCACGCGGCTCTTGTAGATGTCCTCGGACACCCGGGGCATGGGGGCGTCCAGGCACACGGTGCAGATGCTCTTCTCAATCGCACGCACGGACTCCTTGTTGGTCTTATCTGGGAGAGAAATGACTGTGAGTAAGTGGGGGTTGTGTCATTGGAAGGAGAGACGTTTGAAAGGATGGGTTTGAAGGACGCAGTGTTGGGTTCCTGCCGTACCTCAGTGGGGGTGTACACAGCTGTTAAAATTGCAGCCAGCTGCGTTGTTGCAGGTGTGAACATGCTGCATTCACCCCCCTTTTTTCAATTTTCTTACATCCTACCCATTTTCAAGGCAACAAACTCTGAGATTTCACTAAACTTCATACTTTGAATCTGTACCTCCCAACCCAAAAATTACAACAGATTGCAACAATTGCTTCTTTAAGGTGGAGAGCTCATGTTAACTGTCCAAAACAAGCTTCCAAAAGAAAGAACTGAACAAAGCACAGTGGGGAGGTTTGTTGTTCAAGGATTTGCAGTGTTTTTTAGCACATGTGTGTTAGGGGCTCTACACACCTTTCAGGAGGTTGTTGTAGGCTTTTGCCCAGCTGTTCCGGTGGTTGGTGGTGAGGATCCCAATAGGTTCTTTGTTTGTTTGGAGGGAGGTATTCCAAATCTTCTCCAGCTGAATGAAGAGCTGGTCAGCAGTAAGGGGAGATCCATCACTGTGGTAAACATCCAGCTCAAAGAACTGAAGGTGAGAAGAGTGGACAAGGACAGATACAGACAGTGAGAGAAGATAATTGTCCAGCCCCAGAAACTGGCAACAGCTACTTTGAGAAGGTAAGGCCTAGCTGAAGTACTCAGCTTGCAAGACTTTTGAAGGATGCTCAGAATTGAGAGACCCAAGTCCAGCTTCCTTTGCAGGGCATAAATACAGTCCTGGTTTTATGAAGCCATGGTTACAAGGACCAAGGAGGAATTCCTGTTTCTGAGACTAAGCTGCAGTGGGAGGGTTTGTTATCCAATTTTCACTTTCAGTTTCCAGTTGCAGACATGGTCTCTGGGCTTTGAGAGACAGGGAAAAGAAACAGAGGAAGACAGTATTTTTCTGCCTCTAGTCTGCTGCTTACACGTGCCAATTCTGCTGCTGGTCAAAGGGGATAAAGGGAGCAGGAACAAATCCCTGATGAGAAAAACCTTGTGGGCAGAGACTTTTTTATTCCCTTTCCTCTGTATAACAGCTAGCAAAAGGGATACCTGCAGCTGAACAAACCTTGAAAGCCCAGCAGTTGCCTTACCTGGAAGTTGTGAACGACTGTGATGTGTCTGGACTGCTTTTTGCCTTTGGCATAGTTGACAATGGAGTCCCGCTTGGGCCCGGGAATGCGGCAGGATGAGAGGATCTGGTAGTACTGGTTCATACAGAGGGGCTTCCCACCCATGTACTCCACTGGGAGGGTCTCACTGGACACACAGCAAGGTAAGGAGGAAGGAGAGAGAGAACAGATCAGTGTGAGCAGGCCTGGGCTCCCTACACAGGTCACAGGTCCCCCTTGTAGCTGCACTCCCTCCCTACCTCTGGCAACACCTAAAGGTATTGGTGGCATAAAAAAGGGGCTGTCCTTCCCCATTCCCAGCAGCTTTCTTAGTACAGGCTACAAAAAATGTCTGTCTGCTGGCCTTTCATTTGGGAAGGGGAATAAACAGTGTCCTTTCTGTGACACCAGAGAATCAGGTCTCTGGACCTAGTCCATGGCTGTAGCTCTGAGTGACGAGTATCTGATGTGATTCATGAACTAGGCAGGGGCTCAATCACTCACTTCTGCAGTCATATTCCAACCACCATGAACTTTGTCTGACTGTTGGTGTTGGTAAACATATTTTTGGACTTTAAATAAGGTGTGTCCAACAGAGATTTGCTGGTGACCAAAAGAAAAAGGGTAAGGGAGGAACAAATTTCTCTATAGCTCATTCCATCTATCTGGGACGTGAGAGGCACCAGGAATCCAATGTTAGAGAGTGAAATTCCTGCTGCCTGAGCTGTAGCTTGTCCTGTGAGCAAACAGAAGTGCAAAGCTCTGTAGGACTGTCAGTTGTGCTTGCTCCCTCCAAGCATGTTCCCATGCCAATGAAAAAAGCATTGAGGTAAACAAAGAACGTGAAGACAGAAGAGTAAGTTTGCTTTTTTCCACTGGAGGGGACTGGGGATTACAGTATCTTTTTCCAAATCTGTGCTGTCATCTCCTGCCTTTCTGTGTGGGAGATTTATGGACAAGGCTCAGCCTCTCTGTGACGTTAAAGAAGGTGTGAGCTCTCAGGAGGGTCAGTTACTCACTTGTCAATCATGGCCTTGAAATCCAGGATACCCTCGATCAGCTTGGCAGCAAACCTGGAAAAATAACAAATGTAACAAGCTGAGATCAGGCACAGATGTGTCTGGGGCTGAGGGACGAGCTGAGGAGGATTAGCAGAGCTGCTCTCTGCTCCTCAGGAAGCTCAGCCTTACTGCCAAGCCCCTGTTGTGCCCATCTCTGGTTCACTGACACAGCCACTCTGGGCTGTGGTTTGCAATTGCTGCACAGTCCTACTGTGTGGCACTTTCTTTTTTCATGTGTCTTACTACACAGCCAAGGAACTCTGGACAGCTTTCAAGAAAGAAGGATTCAGTCATGCATTAATGACCCTCCAACAGCAGTGTTTGCTACTGATGTGTTACAGTTTTATCATATCTGAGTTCTGATTCTCAGCATTAAAACAGCACCAAGGATTTGTGCCCTTCCCTGGCTAGGGGCCACCTTGGAGTGTCAAGCCAAGATGCAGCTGTTTGTCCCTGCATCTAAGACACCACTGGTGACTGAGTTCCTACCCCAGTGAACATCCTGCTGCTAACATAACTCTGGAGAGTTCCTCTGGCACTGAGGGCTTGGAAACAAAGCAGATGTGCTGCATGAGGACACTGAGGGGTTGTGTTTACCAGGACAATGTAAACAGTGCCAATGCCAGCTCCCAGCAGGGCTGTGACATGCCACATCAAGCTGCTTAGCTAGAAGTGACCTTCTCTTGGCCAGATTGGCCTTCTCTGACATGGGAGCTCCCACCTGTCCCTGCAGGAAGGAGGCAGGAGGTCACTGGGACAGGGGGTTGTGTTGTTGGCTGAGTGATGTGGTGCCAACATTTGGCATTTGCAGGCAGTATCCTTCAGATTGGCTCAGCCTGCCCATTCCAAGGAAAGATCAAAGGACACAACTCCAAGAACCTAAGGGTTCTGTGAAATGAGGCATTCTGCAAAGTAGTTTTCAATTAAAATTCCTCAGCCTTACTGCAAAACATGAGGGAAACACAAGTAAGAGTGTCTGTGTTCCTTTCCAGAGAATTAACAGCCTGGAAGCAGAGTTTGGGCTCGAGGAGATGGGAGAGGCTGGTTGACTTGTTTTCAGCCAGCACTTTTGCCAGGTTAAGGAGTAAAAAAATCACCACTTCCCAAATTTGCCTTTTGCTTTTGGAAGCTGTAGTTTCAAGCTGCACTGTCAAACTTCTTTGTGCAGCCACAAACTACCCAAACACACATTTAAACTGTATTTTACACAGGAGCCCACCTTCTTATGCAGCTGCTGAATTCCACTGGCTGGGCACTTGCAGCTCTCCAGATTATTTGGAAAACTTAAGAGTGAATAACACGACAGGGAGCTTTCAAGACATTTGTGTACTCTTGCACTGTTGTGAGGCTAATCCTGTGCTCAGGTGTATCGAGGGGTGGGAGGGAGGATTTGTTCCCAGCCTCACTGATCCCCTGGCTGGTACTTCTGATCTGCCAGGGCAGTGCTGACTGGTAACTGTGGCAAAGGTACCTGTGTAAAGGTCAGTGCTGAAGTTTTGTTTTTGCAGATGGATTCAAAACACACTACTACTGGTGGTTAAAAATTAAAGGGAGCCCATGAGAAAAAGAGGGCATGGCAGGGTCTGATTGCAAGGAAAAGCTTGGAGTGGGAAGGCTGGTCACTGTGGTTTCCCAAACTATGAATCACAACAGGGGACAGTCCCTGTCAGGCTCCTCCATCCCTATAAACTAGCAAACTCCGGAGGCATTTCTGGGTGATCTCCTTTACATGCCTGGGCTACTTTTTGTGCCTCCTTTAACTGCACACACAATCACAGTGCCTCCAGTACATCCTCACAATGTCTTCAGCCAGTGATGGGACCATTTTGCAGTGAAGATCTGTGCTTGAGCAAAGACCTAATGTAATTTCTTAGTCCCTGTTTAATACCTGAACCACTAGACTCCTTGTTTTCTCCCCTGATGAAATATTTCACTGCTGCAACCAGGAGTTTGCTTACAGCCTGGCAGCCTTGTCCTCACAGCAAAGACAGCTCAGTCCTGGGGACCACATTACTCATTCCCAATCTGCCTTAATACCCTCATCCCTGTTGAGCACAGAAAGCTCATCCCAGCAATAACCTAAGGGAAGGTAGAAAAGGATTTTACCTGAGCTGACCTTGTCGATCCAGAAAATCCTGCTTAGGTAAAACCACACCTGGGCTGGAGTGGACCACGACTGGCAAGCGATATTCCAGGTAAGCTGTCTTCAGCCACCAGTCTGAGAGCTGGCATGGAAAAAGAAAACATGCAGAGAGCTGCTGCTGCTGCTGTCCAACCCAGTTCTGGCTGATGGGTCTCAGCATCCTGCCCCCAGTTCTGTCCCATACTTTGCAAACAACGGGGTTTGTAATATGCAGGTGAAAGGGGAAAGGAGGATTTGAGCAAGGCATGGGTGGCTTTTGGTGCAGGGCTTGAGCAGAGGGTCTCCTTCAACTTCCTGAGGCAGCTGTGTGATGCTGACAGGTTCAAGCCTTCAGCAGCCAGAGGCAGGGCCAGTGACTCCCTGTTCTGCCATAATCTCTCTGCTCACCCAAGCCCTGGTGAGGAGTTTGCACAGCTTGGGGAGACCAGAGCACACTGGTCAGGAAGGTGACACCATTAAAACACAGGTACCAGTGGATGCAGCCAGGACAGGGAAGAGATGCACATCACCCCTCCACCCTCCATAACCAGAGCTGGGCCCAGAGCCCTGACCTACCCAGTTCTCTGTTTTCTTGGCTCTTCTCTCCAAGCCTTTCTGCAGCCTCTCGCCGACGCCTCCCGGCTTGCGGAACTCGGCCACGAGCTGCTGCGTGTGGCTCAGCTCCTCGGGGCTGATGATGGGCTCCAGGGCCAGCAGGTACCGGTCCAGGGTCTGCTGCAGGGGGGGCACAGGCAGGTGGGGCAGCGCCTCCTGGTGCAGCTGGAATCTGCCCACGATCTTGTTTAGAGCTGTCTGCTTCAGCAGGCCACAGGGCCTGGCCTGCAAAGCACAGAGCAAATGTCGAGACAGAACTTTCCCCGAGGGAGCAAAGAACCTGGATGTAGGAGTCTCCATCCCAGCCTCTCTGTGGGCACGTGCGTGTCCCAGCCTGGGACCAAAGCATGGCTGTGTGCTGGAGAGGGTGCAGGACATCCAGGAAAGCTGTGAAAGAGAAACTCCATCTCCAAGATACCTATTCTCAGCTCCTCAGAGAAAATGCTGCTGGGATAATGACACATCTCCCCACTCTGTGGACACCTTCCAGCTGACAGTCTCCATGTGATGACAAAGTCATGAAAACCCTACCATCCCATGGTAAGTGGGAAGAAAGTTGTGAAAAAAATAATCATCTCGTACACTATCAGAACCTTTCATTATTTCTTACAAAAGCATAAGGCTAAAAACGCAGTAACCTTGTGCCAAACCAAACTACCCTCTTGGCTTTGAGGAGGCAGAATTTAGCTAAGTTTGGGGCAGGATTAAAATGCTTCTTCTCTATCTATTCAGGAAAATGTGGGTGAAGCCAAAAGGCTCCTGCGATCCAACTGGGTCATGTGGGAAAAAAAGCATCAACTACTTCCCTGGCTGGAAAATTATAACACAGCAAACCCAAGTGCTCCCCAGGAAATCAACTCACCAGTTTTCCCCAAAAAGAGTAACAACATCCTTCTGGATGAGCAGGGTTGCACATTCTTCAGCTTGAAGATGTTTCAATAGTACTCTCAAGGTTTCCAGTTCCCTCTGCACCTCCCTCTCCCATGGATCTACTGAATCAGACACTCCTGCAGGACTCTGGACTTTGCATTGTCAGTGTACTGAGAATGCAAAGCCACTGAGAACACTCCCTTTGACTTCCAAAACAGTAAGAAAATAGCTGTCCCCACACCTCCTCCCAGCAGTTAAGCACAGACAAGAAAGAGCTAATCTACAAGGTGACAAAGCCCCCCAGAAACTGCCCTGCTTTTGGGCAGCTGGGTCTTTGTGGGACCTGAGAAGAGCTGCGAGATTGAGGTTTGCAGAAGGAATGAGAAAAACAACAGGAGGATGAATTACTGAAGCATAAGAGAAGAGTGGGATCGGGAGGAAATGAAAGTTGTTGATCACAGCAGCTTGGGCATACTGTACCTTCTCTGCTTGCTTCTGCTTCCTATCCATGGCCGGTGGGACAGAACAGACCGCAAAGCTCTCCCTGGGCCTGTGTGGGGCTCCTCTTCCACCTGACAATGTGCTGCCCGTGCAGGGCGTCACCTCATTAGCCAACTGCCACATGACTGCTGCGACCAGAGGGCTCGGGGCTGGCACAGCCCGGCAGGGGACAGCAATTATCGGATCACTGGATTGCGACAACTGCCCTGAAGGTGCCCCTCCTGGCACTGATCAATACCTGGCTAGAGCCTCTCTCTGACCAAACTCTGGGCTCCAGCTAGGACAGGAGTGGGGATGTTGTTCCTTCAGCCTTTGCCTGGACCATGAAACAACTGTGGCTGTTGGGAGAGACAGCTGGACATAAGGCAGGAGAGACCCCAGTTTATGTCCTGGAGGTGGCACCATGGGCAGTACCCTGACTGCCCTCACTCCCTATGCACGTATGGTCATTATTGCAAGCAGAGATTTGGGGAGTTCTGGGTTGTCAACTCTTAAAAAAACCAAAAAAAAAACCAAAAAGTATCTCCACAGCATGGCAATGAGATTGCCATGCCATGCATGAGATTGCCATATCAGCCCCTCCTTCATGTGTCTAATGACCTGAGGGGCAGAAAGCACAATCTGCATAGCTTGAATAGAACATGATGATCCCAAACAAATAGCTGCAGATTTTCCATGGGGTAACAGTGAAAATCCCAAAACAAAACCATGGAAGCCACTGCATGTTAAAATGTGGAATGCATTTGTTATCTTCCCTCTTTTCTGTCCCCTGCTTGTTTGGTTTGGGGTTAAACTCAAGAATTTGGTAGAAGAAGGAACAATGATCAGAGCTGAGGGGGCAGCTGGCAGCAAACAGAGTGAACAGCCCAATCCTGACCACAAGCAGCAGGAAAACGAACACCAATGGAGCAGGGTGTGCAGACAGGGCCAGCCTGTGGGCTGGCATTGCTGCTGAGCCACCTTCCAACACAGCAAAGAACCTTTTCCAGAGCCTGCAAAGCTGGTGGGAAAGGAAATCCACCTGCTGGGGGGCAGAAGCAACTTCCTAGCTGATTCTTAGCACAGCCACAGAATTGAGTACCAGGATGTCTGAGGTTTGTCTTTTATTTTTAAATCATAATCTGGAGTGCCCCTTAAGCTCAGAGACAAGTGGGTGCCATGCCTGGTCCCTCAGTAACTGTGAGTGGATCCACACTGTAGCTGTTCTGCTCTGTCTCCTCCTGTCAGGACCCAAAAGGGACTGCAAAGAGCAGCTCCCAGGCGTGGCAGGGGTCTGACAGCTCTGCCCTGTGTGCAGCAGGATGGGCACGCTGGGAGCCACCGATGCCATCTGCCGGGGCTTCCCTGGCCCGTCCCTGTCCAGCAGCCACCTTCCTGCTGCCAGCCCCAAGTGCACACCCCAGCACAAGGCAAGGCACTGGTGGAAAGGGTCCAGAGGAGGACATAAAGATAATTAAGGAACTTGAGTATCTCTCGAATGAGAAGAGTGCCAGACTGTGAGTTCATCCTGTTTAATCTGAAGAAGAGGAGGCTGACAGGGAATCTCAACAATCTATATAAATATCATCAAGGTGGGCGTCAAGTGGGTGGTGCCAGACTCCCTTCAGCGGTGCACAGTGACAGGAGAGGAAGCAATGGCCATAAACTAAAACACAAGAAGTCTGCCCTCAACACGAGGAATAACTTTTTTACATTGAGGATGGCAGAGCACTGCGCCCTAGTGCCTGCCCAGGGATGGTGTGGAGTCTCCCTCTCTGGAGACACACCTGGACACGTTCTTGTGTCACCTGCCCCAGGTGACCCTGCGTTGGTGGGGGGTGGGACAGGGTGATCTCCAGAGATCCATCCTTTCCAGCCCTGACAATTCTGGCACTGTCATCTCCGTCCCGGACAGGAAGAAACCAGCGGGAAGAAACCGGCGGGCCTGGGGGACTGACAC